GCCACAGCGAGAAAATCTGACTCAGACACTGATTGGTTGAGTTTCCGACAGATGAGGAATAAATGCACAACTGCTGTCAAAGCTGCAAAACGCAACCATTTCTTATCTCAGACCTCCAAAAATCTAAATGACCCTAACAGATTCTGGAAAACCATCAAATCTCTCTCAGGCACCCCCCAATCATCTGACCTCCCATCACAACTTCTCGTTAACTCTGTTTCTGTGTCTAATAAGCACGAGATCCTGAACTGTTTCAACAAACATTTTGTTGCTTCTGGTTCTTTATTTGACACAATTACTAACAGAAAATCAGCCACTTCACTTAATAACCAAACTTCTACAAATCAAATCCCTCCTACAAGTCAATCCTCAGTTAATCACAGCTTCTCTTTTTCTCCATTCTCAGTCAGTGAGGTCAATAAACTGTTAAAAGATCTTGATCCTAAAAAATCTGCAGGTCCAGATGAACTTCCACCTTATTTCTTAAGGCTGGCTGCTCATATCATCACAGTCCCTGTGACCCACATCTTCAATCTCTCCATAAGACAAAACTCCATCCCAGACACTTGAAAACAGCCTTTGTTCTTCCTTTGCTGAAGGGAGGTGACCCCACCTCACTGAACAACTATGGACCAATCTCTAAACTCTGCATTTTAGCCAAGGTTCTAGAAAAACTGATAAACTCTCAAATCAAAAATGACCTGAACTCATTTAACATCTTACCTCCACATCAATCTGGTTTCAGGAAACAACACAGCACAACCACTGCTTCACTGAAGGTTCTTAATGACGTTGTTGAAGCACTGGATGCTAAGGATTATTGTGCTGCACTTTTCTTAGACCTGTCTAAAGATTCTGACACTGTGGATCAGAACATCTTGTGTCATAAACTCTCAGAAATTGATTTCTCAGAACACACCATTGGTTGGTTCTCTAACTATCTCTCAGACCGGAGGGAATGTGTTCAACATAATGGTACTTCCTCCAGTTATTTAACAGTCAACAATGGTGTACCACAAGGCTCAGTCTTAGGACCCACCCTCTTTACAATCTACATACATAATGTAGACAAAAACATCCCTAATGCATCCATACATTTCTATGCTGATGACAGTTTATTATTGTCAAGCTAAAACTGTTGATAAAGCTTTCCAGCTTTTGAATTCTGCATTCAACTCCATCCAGACTGATTTGTTTCACCTCAAACTTGTCCTAAATGCCGACAAAACCAAAGGGATGCTTTTTTCAAATAGGAAGTTGGTCCCAGCAGTTCTTCCTCTGATTTTATCCTCAAATGGTGTCCCCATTGAGTTTGTTGATTCCTATAAATATTTGTGTATCTTGGTCGACTCGCATCTCTCTTTTAAGCTCCATGTGGAAAACTTGATAAAGAAACTGAAAGTTAAACTGGGTTTCTTTTTCAGAAACAGATCCTGTCTAACCCTGAATGCTAGAAAACACCTTGTATCTGTGACTTTCCTTCCCTCCATTGATTACAGTGACATTATTTATATGAACGCTTCTACAAGAACCTGCAGATGTTGGATGCTGCAGATGTTGGATGCTGTCTATCATGGTGCACTAAGATTCATAACTGGCTGTGATTATCGTACCCACCACTGCACCCAGTATTCACTGGTTAACTGGACATCATTAACTTCACACAGACTCTCCCACTGGTACATGTTCATCTTTAAATCACTTCTTGGTCTGCTGCCTTCATACATCTCCTCCTACATGTCTCTGTGTGAGTGCAGCTACAGCGTGCGCTCTCAGGACATCATTACCTGCAGTGTTCCCTCAGTGAGGACTGAACTAGGCAAAAGGGCCTTCTCCTACTCCGCTCCTGTTTCCTGGAATATCTTACAAAAAGATTTGAAGCTCTCGGCCTTGACCTCTCGAAGTGGCTTTAAGAATCTGTTGGACTCCTGGCAGGGACCAATGCAGACATGTTCCTGTTTTTAGTTTTCTACATTCGCCTTAGAATCCAGCTGGTTTTTTTTTTGTTTTTTTTAGCCATTCTATTTGTAAAAAAAAAAACAAAAAAAAAAACTGCAGTATGACTTTTTATAACTGTTTATTGTTGTTGCTGTTGTCCATTGTTTCATCTTTCTTTGTTGAAATCAGGTCTCTCTTGTAAATGAGTCCTCGAGGCTCAATGGGATTTACCTGTAGAAATAAAGGTTGAATGAAAAAAGAGACTGAGTTGAATACATCACCTCAGACTGAGGAAGTCTTTCAGATGAAAGACGAAACGTTTCTACATTTTTTAGCTTTTTTTTTTTTTTATTTTTTTTTATGTCCAGTGGACCAGATGGAACTTTTTTAGAAAGAGAGGTGGTGTTTCGTAAGTCAGGGGGTAGAGAGTTCCAGAGATGAGGGGCAGAGCAGGTGAAGGCCCTGCTCCCCATGGTGGAGAGGCGGGCAGAGGGTACATGGAGGTGTAGTGAAGAGGAGGATCTGAGAGAGCAAGAGGGGATGGAGATGTGTAGGAGGTCAGATAGGTACGGAGGGGAAAGGTTGTGGATAGCTTTGAAAGTGAGAAGAAGAATTTTGAAGACGATGCATGATTTAACCAGAAGCCAGTGGAGCTGCTGCAGGACTGGAGTGATGTGGTTATAGGAGGAGGTTTGAGTGATGACACGGGCAGCTGAGTTCTGGACCAATTGCAGCTTCTGGAGAGATTTGTTGGGGAGGCCATAAAGAAGAAAGTAGCAGTAGTCAATCCAAGAAGTCACCAGACTGTGAACAAGGATGGCTGTGGAGCGGGGTGTGAGAGAAGGGCGGAGACGGTTAATATTTCGGAGATGGAAATAGGCAGACCGAGTGACGTTGTTGATGTGTGAGGTGAAGGAGAGAGTGGTGTCGAGGATGACACCAAGACTCTTGACCTGAGGCGAGGGGGATAGCAGAGAGTTTGTTAAGGGGGATGAGAAGATGTTCCGATTTTGAAAGAGAGTTTTTGGTACCGACAAGAATGATTTCTGTTTTGTTACTGTTTAGTTGTAGGAAGTTGTTAGAAAACCAGTGATTTAGCTCATTGAGACAGTCGGTGAGGATGGAGGGTGGGTGGTTGGTTGGAGTTTGGTTTTGTTACCATACCATACCATTTTATTTATAAAGCACTTAAAACAGCAACAAGGCCAACCAAAGTGCTGTACAGACAGAACAACAGGTAACACACAAAGCAAAATACAAAATGAGGTAAATCAGAATATAGACATAAAAACGATGCAGATAATGACGACAAACCAGTGTAGAGCATACAGGATCAAACACAGAACATCTTGTGTTGAAAGCTGTTGAATAGTAGTGAATTTTTAAACGGAACTTGAAAACCGAGAGGGAGGGGCCTGTTTGACAAGCAGAGGTAACTCGTTCCAGAGTCTTGGTCCTGCTACAGAGAAGGCCCTGTCACCTCTGCGCTTAAGACGAGTTCCTGGAACTGTGAGGAGCAACTGGTCCGCTGATCTCAGGGAGCGTGGTGGGACATACAGTTGTAGCAAATCAGAGAGATTGGGGGGGCAACACTGTTCAGTGATTTGTAGACATACATGAGTATTTTGAACTGGATTCGAAAGTGAACTGGTAACCAGTGCAGTGAGGCCAAAACTGGTGTAATGTGCTCTCTTTGCCTGTACTGGTTAAAAATCGGGCTGCTGCATTCTGGACCAGTTGTAGTCGTGCAATGGAGGTCTGACTGATACCAAACAGGAGCGAATTGCAGTAATCAAGCCTAGATGTAATGAATGCATGTATTACTGTCTCCAGGTTCTTTTTGGACAATATGGGCTTCAGTTTAGACAGCCGCCTCAGTTGGAAGAAACATGATTTAACAATCATGTTTACATGATTGTTAAGTTTCAGGGAAGGGTCCATTATCACGCCCAGATTAGTGACTCTTTGTTTTTCTGACAGGGTTAGAGTGGAGAGGTCGATGCAGTGGTTTGTGATCGTGTCGTTGGGAGGGAACAACATGACTTCAGACTTCTTTTCATTGAAACTTAAGAAATTTAAAGCCATCCAGTCCCTGATGTCAGCCAGGCAGTCGAGCAGCGGTTGAATAGAGCATGTACCATTGTGTCTTAGGGGGAAGTAAATTTGACAGTCATCGGCATAGAAGTGGAAGGGCATGTTGTGTTTCTGGAAAATAGCACCAAGCGGCAGCAGGTATAAAGAGAATAGGAGGGGACCCAGTATGGACCCCTGCAGAACCCCCCATTTAAGTTCTGCCTCTGCGGAACTAAAATCCTTGATAGAGACACAAAAGGATCTGTCAGTGAGGTAAGATCTGAACCAATTGAGGGCTGATCCTGTGACGCCCTAGCAACGAGGATCTCATGGTCGATGGTGTCAAAGGCGGCTGTGAGGTCCAACAGGACAAGCAGCACAGAATCACCGGTATCTGTGAATCTGAAGATGTCGTTAAAGACCTTCAGCAGGGCAGTTTCAGTGCTGTGGAGAGGTTTAAAGCCAGGTTGGAAAAGCTCTAAGATGGCGTGATCCTCCAGGAAGCACTTCAATTGGGACTCGACTATTTTCTCCAGTACTTTAGAAACAAATGGGAGTTTGGAGACAGGCCGGAAGTTGGAAACGACTGAGGGGTCAAGGTTTGGTTTTTTCAGGAGAGGCTGGACAGCAGCATGTTTAAAGGATTTTGGCACCACGCCAGTGGATATACTACTGTTTACTATGGCAAGAATGGACGGACGTAGAGTAGGAAAAACCTCCTTTAGTAGTCGAGGGGGGACCACATCAAAAGGGGAACCAGAAGGTTTCAAGCTGCACATGACCTGCTCTAGAGAAGATATAGTGATGGGTTCAAAATGGTCAAGCAGCTACAGGTTGAGGTGGGATGGATGGGTCATGAGTTGGAGGGGAAATGGCTGGAGAGTAGACACACAGTGTTCTCAAAGGAGGGAGAGGGAGGTGTGTGGGCTCGCCGGAAGTGAAGTGTGTAACACAAGACGGCCTGAGACCTTTGACTCGTCTCCCTGTAGGCTGAAGCAGTGTGCCTTCTGTTACCGTGGTGACCAGCCCCCTCTGGGCCAGGGCCGCCTGCTGGTTTTTGGCCCAACGCCGGGCTACATCCCGCTCCACATCCTCAACCGCCACACCTCCTCCGACCGGGACGACGACTGCCCCGAACACTGTTACCGAGGCAACCGAGACCCACCCACGTGAGTGACTTAACTTCCTGTTTCTTTTTGTTTCTGTCTGAGCATTCAGATGGTGTTTGATTGATCAGATGATCGGGTTTTTTGATTCCAGGAGCAGCAGTCTAGAACTACGTGTCTCCTCCCTCTGTGGTGCATCTGCAGGTGTGTCTGGATGTCTGCTTACCTGTCCTTTACCTATCTCTACCTGTCCTTTACTTGTCTCTACCTGTCCTTTTGCCTGTCTCTACCTGTTCTTTTGCCTGTCTCTACCTGTCCTTTTACCTGTCTTTACCTGTCCTTTTGCCTGTCTCTACCTGTCCTTTTACCTGTCTCTACCTGTCCTTTTACCTGTCTCTACCTGTCCTTTTGCCTGTCTCTACCTGTCCTTTTGCCT